GTAATGAATTGAGCCATTTTTACAATTTTATACTACTCTCTAGAAATGAAGTGTCACGTGTAGTGGCCCGTACATGAATGGTATCAAACGCATATTTTTATCCCTTATATCTATTTCAATACTTTGGAATGAAGTATGTAATAGTGGAAAATAGAATGGGGCAAAGGTTATATAAAAATTCGACCCGTAAGAACAATTGACAGCATTGAACGGCACAATCCTCAACAACGGTGTTCTCGCAGTCCCAACTATATGAGAATTGCATATATCTGTGTAAATGAAAAGTTTATCCGGCAAACCTCGTTCCAGGCTAGCCGGGTACTTGCACACTTTAAACGATAAATTGGAAAATTCGAGTCCTGACCATACAAAGTCGAAACCCAACATTTCTGATAATTTTTCATTGAGCATAAGTTTGTGTACATATTTTATGCATGGTTCAGATCTACATGCACGTTTGATCATAACAAAATTTGTCAATTTATCATAAGTGAGTTGGAAATGTTTCGCTAACAATGCATTTCTATTAATATTACGAACAAGAGTGTCTAGATTAGGTAAACCATCGTGAGGTATGCCACATTGAAATGATTTTGCTTCATTGGAATTTTGCATGAAAAAAATTGACGCATCTTTTTCACTCAAATGATAAAAACTGTTTGGGAAATGAATTTCAGAAAGCCCTACTCTCCATTCTCCTTGCAATGTAATATTTATTGGTAAATATATCGTGAAATATGAAACCGTGTTACCAGGATAATATTCTTCAGAACTATCACTTGATAGCGTGATATAAAAATCTGATTCACTCATATTAAATTGACAATGTTATCCGCAGGTTCCCAAATATTGAATGAATCTGGATAACCTTTCAACTTGACTAAAACTTTCTTATTTCTCCCTTTTCCACGAGTACGTATTATACGTTCAATTTCAAACTCTTCTTTATCTATATTTATATTTACCAAAGTTAATTCACATTCATAAAAGAATCCGTCAATATCACTACCAGCTAAATCTTTTAATTCGTAAATAGGAATATTTTAACGCACATAAATTTTTCTTATTTAAAATAGTTGTTCTGTCCAATTTTCCTCGTAACCTTTCCGAAAGGCTGCCTTAGCTTTACTGATTCGAACATAATCCCCCACCTTATACATAAAGGTCCGTTTACGGGGTTTGACAGTTTTATAACGTTTCTGAATGTTATCCCAAGCCTCCTCGTTATTGTCACTAGTTACAGATACAAGCATCATCTACGTAGCAGAATGAATCGTGTGATTATATGCATCAACAATTTTTTGTAAAATATCCAAATACTTGTATGTTTTTTTATAAGTAAAATATCGCCACATACGTTCTTTTAAGGTGCGACTGAATCGTTCAACCACTGCTGCTTTTATATCGGGATTACGCGACACCCTAAACTGTATATTATTCTCAGATAGGAATTTCTGTACGACACTACCCACAAATTCTTTTCCACGATCGGTTTGAATGTAAAGAGGTATACGATTATTGTTACATTTGAATATACGTTTAAAACCTTCCAATACTTCATTAGCTAATTTATTCCGAATCGGCTCCACCCAAGCATATTTACTGAGCACATCGATAACAACGAGTAAATATAAAATATTGTCGTTATATGATTTTAGCGAGCGTAAATCGACAAGATCAGCTTCCCACACTTGATAAATATTTGACACATTAAAATGCATTCGAGGGAATTTGTATCTGACTGGTTTATGAAGAGTATAAGTGTCTTGAGCATTCAGCCAATCCTTTATTTCTTTTTCTGAAAATTTTCTTTTATACTTGGCTAAAATACTACGTGCACGAGAATATGAGACAGGGTTCGATGGGTCAAAATAATCTCGGGCAAGTGCAGTATCTATAGTTTTTCCCATCGTAACCTTTCTAGATGTTTTGGAGGTTTACAAGCCTTTCGCTTATATCCTTCTTTCCCTTCTAGACGATATGATTCTTCATCAGACTGACCGTCTGTAGGCGATGCACACAAATGTCTTCGTACACTTTTCACTGGCATTGAACTAGCTCTCCTCGTTTCGCGTTGTGGTGCAGGTTGACGTGAGGGGTTATATAAAGGGTTCCAATATAATTTATTAGTAACAAAATCACGCGGAGGATTGATACTTTGACAGAAGTGGATAAATTCAGATCTTCCCATTGGATTGAACTTTTTTCGCATCCTCAAAGCATCGTTCAAAAGGTCGATGATGCTAGAGCCTGGTCCTTTTTTGCCATCAACGGTTACCTCGCCTTGTTCGTTCCAACTGAGTCTTTTGAAAACATCTGTCTTTTTTATATATTTTAATAACCCATCGGCTTTGCTTCGGTATGTCTTCGGTACTGAACTAACAATAGCTTCATCAGAATAATTAACGGATTCAGGTATAACTACAGAGGGTATTTTCTTTTCCACCTCTGTTTGGTGAGGAACTAGTTTAGGGTGGATGTGGGATGAAAATGTGGAGGGAGATGTTGGGAAAATTATTTTAGGCGTTTTAGAAAATTATCACTATATTTGGCGTGGGATCGAACCACTTATCACAATTTCGGTACAATCTTTGGTTTCAATTATTGTTGAATGTCTAATTTTCACTGATATTGTCCTTTTGCACCTTATCTCGTTGAGTCACTGAAATTTCTGAACTTAATCAATAAGTTGATGTACTGAACAAAATTATCAAATTTATAATACTGTTTGACTGAATACGCTAGCTCATTATCGTAACGATACTTCTACACTACTACTGACTGACTCTTCCGGGTGCCGCGTTGACAGGTGTCCGTTGACCCGAAAGTTCACGGAGATTTTCGGAGATGGCCGAGTTGGTCGACCGTAACCATTTTGGAGATTTAGGCTGTATTTCGAACACCCCGGGGGCAATTCATCATCAGGGATGATGAATTAATGGTGATTTTAGTTCTGTTGATCTTCTGCATCATCGTCTGGAGGTTGCTCTGGAGGTGGTGGATCTGATGGCAGTAGGCAAAGCTTGGTGATTGGTCTATCAAGCTCTGTGTAGATTGTTCTGATGTTTTCTATGATTGGTGATCCATCTGCCTGCCTTGGTACCTCTGCCTTTGCGGTTCTTATAGTTGCGACTCTCGTTAGCCCATCTGCTCCTAGGCGTGTCGCAATGACTCGTCTGATTGGCCATTGTGCTGGTGGATAGTTTTCGTCGATCATCAGCACCGTGTCGCCAACCTTGATGTTCTCTTCTCGATGCGTCCACTTGTAGATTGCCTGATATCGTTGAAAACACTCTTTGGCCCACCTGGACCAGAATTGTTGAGTTAGCTGCGTTGCCAGGTTCCATCTCTGCAGTTTGCTGGGGTTCTTGTCGATGATTGATGGCTCTGGAATCAGTTGAAGAGGCTCACCTATCAGGAAGTGTCCTGGGGTGAGTACTTGGAGATCGTCTGGGTCATCTGACATGGGACAGATTGGCCTGGAATTTAGGCAGGCCTCTATCTGGATCACGACACTGTTGAGTTCCTCAAATGTGAGTGTTGTTGTCCCCAAGACTCTTCTAAGGTGATATTTTGTTGATTTCACCGCTGCTGCCCACTTGCCTCCAAAATGGGGTGCTAGTGGTGGTAAAAAGCTCCATTGAGTCCCATTGGTGGCGAGAGCAGCCTGAACCTGCTGATTTTCTCTGGATGTTCGGTGGTAGATTTTCTCTAGGACCTCTGCTGCGCCCACGAAGGTAGTGGCATTGTCACTGTACATGACAGCTGGAATACCCCGCCTTCCGGTGAATCTCTTGTAGGCTCCGATGAAGGCGTCCGTTGTCTGCCTGGTGACTAGCTCTAGGTGAACTGCTGATGTGGTGAAGCACACAAAAACTGCAATGTGCACTGACCCTGGTTGTGCATTCGTTGGTCTCCATTTGAGGATGGCGAATGGTCCTGCATAGTCCACACCTGTGTGGAGAAATGCTCTTGCTGGTGAGATTCTCGTTGCTGGTAGTTGACCCATCTGTTGCTGGGCCTGTCTTCCTCAGTGTCTGGTGCAGATGGCACAGCGTTGAATATATGCTCTAACTGTGCCTCTGCCGCCGATTATCCAGTATCTTTGTCGGGTATAGGCCAAGGTGAGTTGAGTTCCTCCGTGGAGTGTTTTCCGGTGAGCTTCTTCGATGACTAGTGTGGTGAGGCGTGATTGGCGAGGCAAGATTATTGGGTGAATTTCGTCTGGATTTAACTGCGAGTTCTTGAGGCGTCCCCCAAGTCTCATGATCCTTTCGTTGTCTAGTGTGGGTGTCAGCTTGGCTAGTTGATGATTTCTCGGTAGTTGGTAATTTCTCTGGAGTACTCGAATGGCTGGCCCAAAGTATTGATGTTGTGTTATTTTTACCCAAAATAACCTCACGTCGTTGAGTTCTCTTGTTATCAAGACAGGTCCCGGGGGCGTTGGCTGCCTCCTGAATCTGTCGATAGTTCTGTTGACCGTAGCTGTTACGGCTAGTAATTTAGCCATCGTCTGATATCTGTTGAGTAACTCTACAATTTCGTTGATTTTAATGGCAACTGGATGTGCTGGTGCTGGTTTTGCTTCTCTGGCCACTTCTGGGATGTCCATTGCTGGAGCGTCGATTGATGATTGTGGCCATTCTTCAGGATCCTGATTGATCCACTCAGGTCCTGACCACCACAGTTGATGATCTTCTAGCTGGCTCGGTGATATGCCTCTGGAGGCACAATCAGCTGGATTCTCCTTTCCACTGACATGTCTCCAGGTAGCATTCGGGAGAGTTTCCTGGATCTTGACGACCCTGTTGTGGACGAAGTCCTTCCATCTTGATGCGTGGCTCCTGATCCAAGCTAGTGCTACTGAAGAATCAGACCAGAGATAGGTGTCTACCTGGTCGAGTTGGAGCATTTTCTTCGTTGATGCCACTAGCTGAGTCAGTAGAAGAGCTGCTGTGAGCTCTAGTCGAGGGATGGTCATGCGCTTGAGTGGTGCTACCTTAGTCTTCGCGCATACCAGTACTGTTGATGTCGAGTCGTTGATGGTTTTGGTGCGAATATACACCACTGCACTCATGGCTACCGTTGAAGCGTCTGCAAATCCATGAATTTGGATGTTGAGTGTCTGTTGAAATTCTCAGCCATCTGGGTACAGTTACTCGGTCTAGGTCGTTGAGATTCTCTCGGAATGGCCTCCAGCGTTGAACATACTCATCTGGAAGAGGATCATCCCATTTTAGTTTCAATCTCCAAAGATCTTGTAGGAGAATCTTTCCCTGGACGACAACTGGTGCGATAAATCCCAGTGGATCAAAAATCTGGGCTATTTCTGAAGAGACTACTCTCTTGGTGATTGTCGCCGTATTGAAATCCTTTGATTTGTACCGGAATGTGTCGGTGGATTGATGCCAACACAATCCAAGTACCTTGGTGACTGACTCCTCGAACTGGATAATTTCTTCGTCAGTTGATAGGCCCAACTCATGCAGAGCTTCTGGACAATTGCTGCTCCACTTCTGTAGAGAGAAGCCTCCTGCATGGCAAAGCCCTTGTAGTTGCGTTGCGATCTCCTTGAGACCGTCTTCTGTTTCTGCACCGCCGTAAATGTCGTCAACGTAACGACCTCTGGTGAGTGTCTCTACTGCTGCTGGGAAGCGGTGCCCTTCATCTTCTGCTAGTTGTTGAAAAACACGTAACGACAACCATGGAGAGCAATTTAGTCCATAGGTGACTGTCGTTAACTGGTAGGTGACTGGTTGTTGATTCTCGTCGATCCACAGTATTCTCTGAAGATCCCAGTCATCTTGGTGAACTCGTATTTGGCGGAACATCTTTACAATATCCGTGCCAAACACGAGCCTGTGCCTTCTCATCCAAGTCAGGATAACCATTGCATCGTTCTGTAATTTTTCACCAGAATACAGTATATCGTTAATTGACATACCTGATGAACTGGGGCTGGAGCCATTGAATACGACTCTCAGCTTCGTTGTGATGGCCTCCTCTCTCAGTACCCCGTGATGTGGCAGATAGTAAGCTGGCACGGGTTCTGGAGTCTCTGGTGCTATTCTCATATGTTCCAGTGCTGCGTACTCGTTGATGAACTCTCTGTACAACTGGGAGTATGCTTGATCTGTGTTGAGTCGACTCACGATCGATTTGAGTTGACGTGCTGCTTTGAATTTCGATTCTCCGAGCGCTGCTGCTGAAGTTTTGAGGGGCAGTCTCACGATGTATCGCCCGGTGTTGTCTCTGCTATGAGTTGCTCTAAAGTGCATCTCGCACTCGTACTCATCTGGTGAAAGCTCTGATGTTGATGATCTCTCGTTTGGCAGTTCTTCCTGGACCCAAAATTTCTGGAGAAGCTCTAGAAGTTGTTCATTCGAAGATTCTCGTACAGCTGATAGAGATACCTTTATTGAACAATTTGTGCATTCGATTGGTCCGGATAATATCCAACCGAATACTGTGCGTTGGCCAACTACGCTCGATTGCTCTGACTTGAGAATGTCATCCATGATGATCCGCCCATAGTTGTCAGCCCCTAGTATGATGTCGATTGGTCCAGGCCTGAGATAATGNCTCGTACTCATCTGGTGAAAGCTCTGATGTTGATGATCTCTCGTTTGGCAGTTCTTCCTGGACCCAAAATTTCTGGAGAAGCTCTAGAAGTTGTTCATTCGAAGATTCTCGTACAGCTGATAGAGATACCTTTATTGAACAATTTGTGCATTCGATTGGTCCGGATAATATCCAACCGAATACTGTGCGTTGGCCAACTACTCTCGATTGCTCTGACTTGAGAATGTCATCCATGATGATCCGCCCATAGTTGTCAGCCCCTAGTATGATGTCGATTGGTCCAGGCCTGAGAGAATGGGAATCGGCTAGCTGAAGATTCTGAAGTGAGCCGATCCTCGCTGATGAGCATGAAACTGACGGAATTATTGTGGTGAGCTTCTTTAGAATGTGGGCGTTGAGTTGCAGTTGATGAGTCCCACTGTTCGATTGTAGAGTGACTGAAACTATTCCTCTGGTGTATCCTGAATTAATTCCACCAATTCCCACTAGCTCCACTGTTGATGCCCTTCTCTGTAAATGCAGTTGATTAACTAATTGTGCGGAGATAAACGATACCTCGGAACCCTGGTCGATGAGTGCTCTGGCTTTTGTCGTGAATCCTCTCGGTGATATGACTTTTACTCGTGCTGTTGCCAACAGCACTGACTGTTGATCTGCTTCTCCTTGGTGAGTTTCGTGGTTGATGTTCTCTGCTTTCTCATTGATCATTTTGTTGTTGAAGTTCACTGCTACTGGTGGTGATGTACTGGATTCTAATGTTGAGGAATGATCAATGAGATGGTGAGTGTGCTATTGCGATTGAATTCATTCACTCACTGTTCCCGTGATCTTCTTGCTGCCTGGATGTTCCAGCAGTCTGGACGGGTTCAGCTTGAGTGCGTCTGGCTGGAGGCGGGCTCATCGTCCATGAACTCCCTCCATGGATGAGAGTGTGGTGATATCTGCTACATTTGTGGCACTTCTTTTCCGACGTGCACTTCGCCTTCGTGTGTGGCCCCAAGCAGTTGAAGCACAGCCCCTTGTTGATAATGACGTCGTTTCTCTTCGCTGGGTTGAGCTCGATGAACTTCTGACAGGATGGTATAAAATGCTTGTCCTGACAGTAGGCACAGCAGTTCCTAGGAAGTTGTCTTTCTGGCTCCTTAATTTCCTGCTGTTGAGTTGCTGCCGTATAGGTGCTCCTTTTCTTTATTGGAGCTGACTTCTTCGTAGCTGCGTTGAGTTCCTTTGATGATAGCAGCTTGGCACCTGCGTTGATCCCTCTGCCGCAGGCCTCGATGAACGCCACGAACTCCTTAAGGCTCGGGAAATCCTTTGAGTCTCCCAGCTTTAGTTCCCATTGCTTGAGTGTCTCTGCATCAAGAGATCTCCTCAGTAGATGGGCTATCAGCTGTTCAGCGATGTTGTCTGTCGTCAGCCCCGTCACGTCTTGTAATTGATCTAGGGTCTCCAATGCTGCTGCTCCGTTGGCGCTGAGGTTCTCTTCTGTTGCTTGGGTGATTTTCGGCAGCGTCAGGATCCTGTTGAATAACGACTGAGCGACGAGTCTAGGGTCTTCGTACTTCCTGGTGAGTTTCTGCCAAGCCTTGTCGTAGTTTTCGTCCTTGGCCTGAAAGGTGGAGAGGAGAGCTGCTGCTGGACCTCTCAGGCATCCCTTAAGTCTCACCAATTTCTGTACTGGTGGAATTGACGTGACATTTCCCACCAGTGACAAGAAAAGGTCACTGAACTCCTTCCATTCCTCCGGTTTCCCATCGAATGGCTTGATGTCAAGACGTTTCAGCTGATTTGCCTGGCTTTGATCTGTTGAGCTGCTGACTGAATCCCTTTTCCTTGCCAGTTGACCCTTCAGCCGAGCAATGAGCATCAGGGCTTGTCGTCTTGTTTTGGTGGCTCGTTCATGGATCCTTTCGTTCACATACTCGTGATCAGGGGGAAGAAACTCGGCTAGATTGGCATAAATCTGAAAATACTCGCTCCATTCTGCCTCAATTATCCCCTTGTGCCCGTCTAGTTCTTCTAGGGTGAGGTCCTCTTCGGTTTCAACGTCCTGCGGGAGGTCATGATAGATCTCCATCAGAGTTTCTACCTTAAACGTTAATAGTCTTAATTGACCTTCCTGTTGCATGGTGAGTGCTGTTTTTGAAGCTGCAGGCGTTGACTTTTGTTGAGCGGGCTCCTTTGATCCTGACGATCCACTTGGACTGATGATTTCCTCATTAGTGGTGATTGGCTGCGTTGTAACTGTCTCATTTCTTGTTGACAGTTTCTCTTCTTGTGAGACTTGCTCGCTTTCCTCGCTTTCACTCTCTGGGTATTGAGTTTCTTCTTTGGGTTCGTTGACTTTAGTGTCGTCTTCCATGGTGATTATCTGTGCTAGATTGACGGTTTGGGTGAGTTATCGGCTGTTGAATTGGGTGAGTTACCGACCGCTGAGTTGGGTGAGTTACCGACCGCCGAGTTAGGTGAGTTACCGACCGCCGAGTTAGGTGAGTCGCCTGTTGCGTGGCGCACGTGGCCAAGCGTTGGTGGGCTTCGGCGTCACTCGTCACTCCCGAACCTTCCCGATTTCCGACACTGTAACTCTCACTTTGTCCTTTGTTAACCCGACACCCTTGCGGGTGTAAACACGTCGAATGTTCTAGAAGTTTCTGTTGACGTGCCCGTGTGAACCCCGAATGTTTTTCGACACGAGGCGTCCCTTAAATTTTTTCCACAGCACTATCACACGTTTTCACCCACAATCCGGCTCGAAGGACCACTGTTTGGTGAGAAACTAGTTTAGGGTGGGTGTGGGATGAAAATGTGGAGGGAGATGTTGGGAAAATTATTTTAGGCGTTTTAGAAAATTATCACTATATTTGGCGTGGGATCGAACCACTTATCACAATTTCGGTACACTCTTTGGTTTCAATTATTGTTGAATGTCTAATTTTCACTGATATTGTCCTTTTGCACCTTATCTCGTTGAGTCACTGAAATTTCTGAACTTAATCAATAAGTTGATGTACTGAACAAAATTATTAAATTTATAATAGTGTTTGACTGAATACGCTAGCTCATTATCGTAACGATACTTCTACACTACTACTGACTGACTCTTCCGGGTGCCGCGTTGACCTGTGTCCGTTGACTCGAAAGTTCACGGAGATTTTCGGAGATGGCCGAGTTGGTCGACCGTAACCATTTTGGAAATTTAGGCTGTATTTAGAACAACCTCTATGGCCTTTGCTTCACCGGTTGGTTCGTTTTCCTCCCTATTGCTATTTATGTGGAATAGAAACCTTGTAAAAATTTTATAGAATTTATTCCACCTTGCGCAATCATCCTTCGGACCCTTACTATTCAAAATATTGAACAATTCACTATCAAGTCTGCTCACAGGATCACCGGGGGTTTGAACAGATGGCAATCGCGAGTTTCCATTACCCAGGGATTTTGAAATATCGGTACTAGGGGTCATCGAGGCATACCGATTAACTGTATCTTCAGGAAGTAATACCATTTTCCTTGCATTTTCCATATTTAAATGTTTTTTAATACAAGAGCTGTAATAATAGGAGCTAGAAGAAGTGGTAACAATGAACCTCCTTTTTGATTTATAATTTTTTTCTTTTCTAAAGTGTTTCTCTTTTTCTTATCAATTAATTTTCGTAAAATCGACTTATATTTTTTCAAAAAACTTTTCTCAGACTTCTTCAAAGGAATATTACCTTTCAAAATATTTAATGATCATTCACAAATAATCCGTACGAGGGCCCTATCAGCGTGCTGTATTATGGCCTTCGTTGCTTGGGAGACGCGTAAACTAGTGCTTGCAATAATGCTGAATTTTTAATACCAAAGGGATGTCGAGCTGGATTGCTCACGGCACGTCTTTCTTTCGCCATTAGACTCGTGCAACTGGTACATTTGTCGACGAACTACCATTATTTATATCATTCTGCTTACGGGGAATGTAAACATAATGATTTCGATCAGAAGGAAATACACAGGTGCGGAAACGACAATTTTCAGGTGTAGACTGCTTCAGGTCGATGAGCAAATAACCATGAGGTCGTGACGTAGCATCGAAATGAGCCTCTTGTACAACCGTGGGATTCTCGGGGACTACCTGTCTAGCCAAGTGGGATATCTGTGCACGGTCACGAGGGTTTTTAAAAGCCACGATGTAACCTGTATTTAAAGATATACCCCTCTGTCCTTTATCTTGGTGAAATATATTTTGTGAGAACAGAATCACGCTCAAATTTTTATGATGACTCCCTTTAGTAAAAAGATCGACAACTAATTCTTTCGAAGACTCACGCATTAGATCGTCGAGTATCATGAGTTTAGCCGTGTTATCATTGAAATCTCCGGCCCCCGGAAAACCCTCGCGAAACTCTACAAATTTTTTATCGTAATCTGAGTATCCCGGCTGCCATTCGGCATAATAAAATTTTTTTTTCGAAAACTCGACGTCACATATTTGATCAATTTCTTTGATAAAACATTTAACAAAAACTGTTTTGCCGCATCCTGAAGGACCACAGATCATTGTCGTAGAAGGATGTTTCCACCTCACGTCCATTTTGACTTCTGAAATTATGGGGATAGATACACGGTTTTTATAGTATAAGAAAAAGAAGACAGCGTTACATAAAAATCAATTTATTCACAAAAATTTTCTCTCTCGTTGAATATGTATTGTTCCAAAATTATTACAAATTGAGACTACATCCTTTCTTAATTCTAAACATTTTTCTAAGGCGTACACTTCTCGTGACAATATTCCTAATTGTTTTTCTATTATATACAATAATCGCACAATTTTTACATTCTTTACATGTTCTTTCTCACGCAACCATTCTTTCAACTCAAAAATATTTTTTTGTAGACGTTTGAGTCCTACATTTATTTCCCAATCTTGAGAACTCTTTTCTCCAATAATTTGGTTGAAAACTGATTTTTTGTTCTCCATGTTCAACACACCAAAAAGATTCGACAAGTAATGACAGCGTCAGTCATTTATTCGACGTCTTTTCACGTATCCATAAGGAAGCGTTGTGGTGGGAGTATCGAAGCGCCGTTTGGGACCTGTGGCGCGGATAATTTTACTCTCCCCGCGCGTCACAACTTCGTGTTCTTTTGTTCTTCGGATACTACGAAACTATATGCAAACGGGGTCTTTAGTTCCTTCTGCAAGTTCTCGTATGGATTGAATATCGATTTTTTTCCTATTTTCAACATCCAAACGGACTCCTTTCATTTTGCAACATTCAACAGTGCCTCTCTTCCCCTGTGAGTGGATTATCTTTGACACTTTTACATTTGAAAATTTCGCTAATGAATAAAATTTTATATCCTTTTTCGACGGCTAATTTGAGCTCAATTGACGTCCAAGTGCCTAAAAATTCTCGCTCGGATACTAATGCATGAGGACAATCAGTTTCGATTTGATTTTCCAAACACGTTCGACATAGAGGGAAAAATTATTTCTCGTAGGCGCGAACAGGTAATACCGCATGGAATAATGTCTGCGGAGCTAACACACGGCATTTGATAAGACCCTCAACATTTGTAGTATCATTTTTCGGATAGATTTGATCAATTCTATCCGATAAATAAATTTCAGAGTGTCCCACCGGGAAACTACCCGTCTTTAAAACGTAGGGATACAACGAGCATGCATCCTCATAATGTATTTGTTTTCCCTGCTGAACCTCGTAGTGGGTCACGGTGTTACCTGTGTGCCCCCCAAAGAAGGCATCACGAGGATTCAATAGGGTAAACACTTGAACGTCAATAGAATCGACATACTCTCTCAATGCTGAATTATTCTTCTTCTCGGTTACGAAATCGCACTCCCACATTTCAATTAACTCTACATCATAGCACTGAATCTCAATATTACGCATTTGTGTGTTCCAATAACGATCAGTTAATGACATACCATCTCGATGTGCTTCTTCCCTATTGAATGGGAAACATTTAAAACAACCATGCCAGTAGCAACCGTGAAATTGATAAGTATATTGCTGACCGTTATCATCTATACGATACCCATCCAACTTGATTTTATTTAATACATACACTCTCTCTCTACCAGCGTGTTGAATACATATATTTTGTGATTTTTCCAACCACATTAGCCACTCATTGGCAACAAAAGATTGTGACTCAGCCATTCTATAGCCGTTCCTTGGAATCACACCTATGTGATCGTCTTTGAGATAATTTACTTGGAAAATTTGCATGCACGTTGACGCAGTTATGACACATCTGGAAAAGGGGAAAATATTTCCAACTTTCAATATAAAAGAGCGAAAGAGCATTGCAGAACATCACAGAATAACAACATCCTGCACACAGTAACGTTCGAGTTCTTTTTTGAAGTCGAATACATATTTTTTCTCACTTTCTCGTTATACCATTCTTCAAACTCTGTAATGCTTTTCTGATCTAAAGCCTGTATTCCAAAAGTTTCTTTGGAAGGCATAATACCCACATAAGCCTGATTTTCTTTCGTGTTAAAATATGAGGAAAATATCCTTTTGATATCCCTGTTAAGCCAAAAGTTTTGGGGAATGCTGATAGAGGCATTTGAATATAATTCAAGCTATCGATGAACTTGACATTGTCATATTGCATTAACATAATGTTACTCCCTGTGAGTATCGTTTCTACATTTGGTATTTTTAATTCCATAACCGCGCGCAATAAAAATTGTCCATCATAACTTTTTGCATTGTATGCAATGCAAATAACTTTACTGTAAAATTTTTTCAAGTTTTGAATAACTTCCATAAAATTGTCAACGGCATCATCCCCGTGATATCTATACTCACGTTGAGGACATACATGCCAAGGACTTATGCTAGGTACAGAACGTTTATCCATTTCACATACATCATCATCCGCTAAGCTGGCGCACTCTTCGCACGTTATTTGTGCAACATAATAATTAGGAATATGTAAATTTACAATTACACCGTTCTCCACACGTTCCTCATCTTGACAAGTTTCAAAATCATAACACACAGAAGTTTCACATTTTCGTCTTCGCAGGATATTCTGCTTCCTGGCATACAACTTGACTTTTTTTATGAAACACCCATGTCCAGGCTCCCGATATTTACCACATATCGAACACCAGTTTTTTCCACGCTGATGAGTTTTTCCCGCAATAACCAAAGAACCACAGACTTGACAAATGCGCCTCGCGGAACAAACACTTTGTATCCCATAATAGGATGTGTCCTCTTTGTGACGATCAAAACAGGTCACGTTAGCGAAAGAACGAGGACACTCAAAACATTTTTCTGGTTCTTCAACTGTGCACGGTGGTGATGTTAAACACATTGAACATTCCCCTGGACA